TAACAGCCCAGAACCGGTCCTTGACAGAGTTGTAATCTTATATGTGTGCAGCTTTCACCCAAGGTCGTAGGCTTCCACCGGCTACACCGGGTGAGGTTGGTGTTCTGTAAAGCGCATGCGCAAATCTGGCTTTTCGTAATCTGAAAATACAGGAGATTACACTCCGTCACTAATATTCTAATATACAATAGCAATTTTTTTTTGTTTTTTCCACGTGTAGTATAGAAAATTATAATAAGATACATAATGCGGTTATAATAAAATATTGTGCAATTATTTTCATATAATTAAAATTAATATTTATTTATTTTTTAGAGAATACGAGGGAAGCGGCGCTTCCAACGCTTCTAATGACGGCACGCCACTGATATATGTATATAATGATTACTTAAAGAAATTTGTAGACAATGTTGACTGATGTAAACTGCAGGATTACCCTTATTTGTACTAAACACAAAATATTTTGTTTAAGTGGTATTACTATTTTGTTTTCTGCTTATTACACTGCACAACAATGAAAATGTTTTGGGCTCAAAATTAGCATATTCTTATGTATTTCCATCTACTGAATTTAAAAATCACAGTAAAAATGACCAATTAGCTCTTGCTTTAGAGATACAGTGACATGTCAGTTTTTAGGGTCTACATTTGTATTTTGGGGGAAATTTATTTTTTTGGGAGTTGTCACATCTCTCAACTGACATAGCACAATGTTCTCCATATGTTTTTAGGTTGAATTTGAACCGTGATCCAAGTGAATGGAGGCTATTCATAGACTCCTCTAAGCTTAATTTGAAAGCCTTATTATTTCAAAACGGCAACTGTCTTCTTTCTATTCCTGTTGGTCATGCTGTTCACATGGTAGAGACTTAAGCAAACATGACAGCCCTCTTCAACTCAATCAAAATATGCTGAACACAAATGGAAAATATGTGGTGATCTAAAAGTCATTGCTGTACTCTTAGGAATGCAACTGGGGTATACTAAATACTGTTGCTTTTTATGTATGTGGGACAGTAGGGATAGGAAATCACATTACATTCAAGCGGACTGGCCTGCAAGAAATCTTGATTCTACCAAGAAAAATGTCGTTGCCAAGCCTCTTGTGGACCCAAAAGATGTTCCTCTTCCACCCCTTCATATCAAGCTGGGTTTAATGCCTTAAGTACATTTAAGGCATTAAACTTAATACTTAAGAGACAACTTTCCTAGATTGAGTGATACAAAGGTTAAGAAAGGTATTTTTGTTGGGCCACAAATTTGACAACTTGTAAAGAATCCTGCATTTGACTGAGTTTTGTGGAGGGAAAAGAAGGAAGCTTGGAAAGCCTTAAAGGGAGTTATTCGTGAATTCTTAGGCAACAAAAGAGATGATAACTACACTCGGTGACAGTAATTCTGGAAAAATACCATCAACTTGGATGCAACATGTCTCTTAAAATCCATTTTCTTCATTCCCACCTAGACTTTTTCCCTCCTAGTTGTGGAGTTGTTAGTGATGAACATGGAGAAAGATTCCACCAGGATATTTCTGTAATGGAACAATGATATCAGGGCAATTGAAATGAAACAATGTTTGCAGATTACTGCTGGTCTGTGTGTAGGGATGCACTGAAACTCATTTATAAGAGGCAAGCCAAAAGAAAATGATCTTGTAAAGTCACCACATGATTCTTTTCACACCAAACTACTTGCCAGATATTTTTCCATCATTTAGAACTCTTAGAATGTAACTGTAATTAAAAAAAAAAATTCAATAGCTCTTTCAATGTTGTTAGCATATGTAATTAAAAGCCATTAAAATCACATACTGCCACCTATTGTATATCAGAAACTAGAGCTAATAAAAATTTTTCTTTGTCATATTTGATTTTCTCACCCCAAAATTAGGAAGATTTTACTCATGAAATAAAGGAAACATTCAAAAACATTTTTTTTTTCTTTGTTGTGCAGTGTTATTTAATGGTACTTAAACATAAATCTCTAAACATCAGATTAACAGCAGGTAGCTGCATTAATCAGTCATGAAAATTGACAGCAAGTGCAAATGTAATTACAATGATTCATTAATCTTTTATATTGGAATTCAGTTGTCACATAATACAGTGGAACCTCGCTTAACGAGCACAATTCGTTCCAGAATCTTACTCGTAATGCGAAACACTCATTAAGCAAAACAATTTTTCCCATAGAAATTAATTTAAAATACGATAATGTGTTCCATGCCGAAAAAATACTCAAATATTTTATGTATGACGTTTATTCAAAGAAAAGTATACAGTATACATTGTTAAGGAGCGTGAATCATCGTCTTTTCTTCTAGTGTGGAATGAACCAACATGGAATGCAAATTCAATTTGCAGAAAACAAAAATAATCACAGATAATATGTCTGATAAACACGCCAAACGATATGCCAAATTCTTGGACTATGTAAAGGCTATAATTAAATATTAGACATTAATTAATTCGATTAGAGGTTGGCAGTTATGCTTCTATCTCGTATTAAATTTAATAATTATAAATATTTTTTTAATTTAGACATTTCTACAATTTAATTTGGAATTGGTCTTTAAATTTAATACCAGATGGCAGGATAACTGCCTACCTCTAGTCAAATTAATTAATGTCTAATATTTAATTATAGCCTTTACATAGCCCAAGAATTTGGCATATCGTTTGGCATGTTTATTATATAATGGGCTATGGTTGTTGATGTTTATATGTAATATGTGTGAACACAAGTTTTGAAAAATGTGTGATCTCAAGTGACACTAAGATGATAGTAGAACCAGTGCTAAACACAGACCGATGGAGCATGCGCACAATCCGGGGCTTCCCCTCTCCTCGTCGCTCGTTAAGCAAGTCAAATTTTTACAATTTGTTTTGCTTGTTATGCGAGGTTCCACTGTATATGCTGTTTACATGTAATGAGTAATAGACATTGTATTTTTCTGATTAGATATGGAATCTCCGTTATTTGCAGTCTCTGATACAACAGTGTATAGGCTTGCTATATGTCTGGGTTCATTAACTCTTTAAACACAGAATTAGCTTAATTCATTCAAGATGAAATCAGCTGAAGGGAAAGTTGTTTGATTGATTTTCCTATAGACAACTTGCATGTGACATATTGAAGTGCAGGATGTGCATTTTGCCCGGTGCCACATTTGTTAGGTTTCTGTTACAAGACCAGTTGAGTGCACCGGTTTTTTCTGACAGATAACACAAAGATATTTCTTTCGTTGTTTGAGATTCAAGCCAAGCATATTTTAACATGTCAGAAAAAACCGGTGCACTCAACTGGTCTTATAAATTAGAGATTGTATTAGGCCAGAGACTGATTTTCTACAAACAAATTCAGGTCATCTTTGTACGGATCAACTTCACCACACATTACAATTTTACTTTTGTACCAGTCAGCATGTTGAATGGTAATTGTTGTTAAATAATCTGGTAAAAATGCATGTGTTGCCATCTATGTGTGATAAATTTAAACTATATACACCTCCAGAAACGGCACGGCACAAATATGTCGCAGGACGCAGTCCAACGACAGTTTAAGCTCATGAGCTGATGTTCATGCAATTCTTCTATACAAAATCTCCTCGCAGCCTGAAAGGTATAAACAATTTTGTCTCCAGGTACATAGAAAGAAGAAATTTTCTGAGCTTAAACAGCCGATTGCAGACAGAGTTTACGTTAAACGACGTTTATCAACAGAACAGCCTATAGACGTTGGCTGGCTGAACCGTGGTTTAAAATGCGTTGCAAAGACGCATTTTAAACCACGTCTATTTCTGAACGCCCTTTAATTAAACAAACTTTGGCAAAACATTGGCTCTTACTTTCTTTGCTATTACTACCCTGTTTTAGGAGTCGTTTGGCCAATCTGGTTATTTGTTTGTGACGTCAGTAATGGTCGCCAGTTATAATATATTCGGAAAGCTTCCAGAAATAAAATCTTAAGGTCGTCAAAACCATTGTTTGGCAATTAATGACAATCCTTTTCCATTTCGATATTTAATTTCGTCGCCAACACGGTTTAAAATATGAACAAATCCATATTTAGAAAATTTATACCGAATTCGAAATTCGTCCTCATAATAGATTTTCAAGGAATTATTTTGACATCTTATTCTTCGTAACTATCAAAATGAATAATTTTAAATATTTTATTATTAATATTACATTTTTTTATATCTATAAACAGATTTCTGTAATTATTAAAATTGTCTCGTTTATCTAACAGTACAATGACCCCGAAATGCATTAATGTTTTATAACCGACACGATACTCAAATTGTAAATAAATGTATCTGATTTAAATTAATTGTAGTTTTAAGTCTTCACTCATTTGAATATTTGAATTGGAACATTTAAAACAAATTTAAACTATTTAATTTTGTTATTTTTGCTCTGAGAAATTAATTAATGAATAATTTTGTCGATTTGTACCGTTTACAACATTTATCAAAGGAACGATATCTGTTTTTATCTAAACTTTTCTACGAACAAAGCTACCACTCAAATTGAAAAGCCCTCTAAACTTGCTGTCGAGTGAGTCTAGAAAGTAGGTCAAATAACTTGTTTCTAATCGCTGTCTACATTGTGGCAGGCGAAAAATGCCGTCTCTGCAATGAAATTTTTCTGAACAGCGGTCTACCTGATCTTTAAACCGCCATTGGCCTCTAAACGTTGTCTCTGCAATCGGTTGAAAGAGTTAATTGTTTGGGATTACAAAATTTATCAGTGGGTACTTAGAGGTATATTTGTGCTTTTGGTATTTGACAAAAGCTATTTTTGGTGAATGGTGAAAAGTGCACAAATACTTTTAATTGGAGCCATTACATGCTACAATTGTGTCTACACAAGCAGAGTAGCCAGATAGGTGAAGGATTTTAAATTGCAACTCTAGGGCTACTATCACTTGTTTAGTAGAAAATGTAGTGAAATAAAAAGTCACCAACTAAGGTCCATTCTACACATTTTTTTTCATAATGCTATAAACATTTCATTTCTCTACTTTCAGGCAGAGATTTTGTGAATTTTCTTAAAATAATTTTACAACCTTGTGTAAGTCAAATAGCGAATCAGTATTCAACTAGAAATCGTTTATTTTATTAGCTTGTTTTGATTTCTACCATATATACTGTCACTTTGATTTACATTGTGTATCTGTGTAATTTGCTATGGAAGTCAGTAATGCTGCAAATGTCGATAATAAGCAGTGAGTATCAACATTCCTTACGAAGACAAGATAAACATTGGTGTTTAAAAACATCTTCAGCATTTACCACTGAATGTTAACATTATCAGAACTTCTCTAGCTTACGTTAGAAAAGTTCACTCTGCTTATCAAAGTCAGGTACAAACCTGGCACAATTAAACAGTTGTACATCCTCGGTCAGGTAAATGTTTGTGAAGAAAAACATTAGTAATGCTTTTGAGGAAGCACTACTAATTGCTATTTGATTTTAGTATTAAATTGACAACAGCATTACATTATGTTAAATATTGACTTCAAAACCTACAAAACTTGGCATTGTGATCTCTATAAATATTGACGTTTTCTGAACATATCTACAGGGGCTAAACTGTGGCTCTTCTAGTCCCTTATTGCAACTTCCATATACTTACACAAAATACAAAACAAAAAATATTATTTATGTTGTATAATATACATAGGATTTTTAAGTGTAACTGGCAACTTAACCTCAAACAGGCAACTAAAAGCTTAGGGTATGGTATGTTCATAAAGTCAAAGGTGTTAAATAATTGTTTTCCTAGTTAATCATAAAGTATCAGTAAAGTAGAGTAATAGTAATATTTACTATAGAACAGTGATAAATGAAGTATTTTAACTATACATAATATAAATATGAAGCTCTCCAATAGAATTCCAATGGAGGATGTGGCTCTTGCGTATTTCTGATAGGCAGTGTATGTAACGAGGTTTGGTCACCCTACAGTGGTGGCCAAATTTCGTTACATACACTGCCTATCAGAAATACGCAAGTGAAGCTATGGCAAGAAACTGGATATCTTTTGGATCGGCCGAAACCTGGAAGACCAAGAAAAACCACCAAATGCACAGATCATAGAATTCGTAGAATAGCAAAAAAAAGAAAATCACAAACTAACATTAACTGATCTCAAAATTAAAATGATAAAACGTGGGATGCCTGAACTTAGTACTCATACCATTAGGTGTTGATTAAATGAGTTTAATCTATTTGGGTGAGTTGCAAGGAAGAAGCCACTCGTATCACTGAAAAATAGACAAGCTTGTCTGAAGTTTGCTCGTGAACACTTGACTTGGACAAGTCAAAACTGGCAGTGTGTGCTGTGGTCGGATGAAACGAAGATAAATCTGTTTGGGAGTGATGGTCACAAATACATAAGACGACAAAAGGCTGAGAAATTTTGTCCTAATTGTATTTAACCCACTGTAAAGTTTGGAGGTGGAAATGCAATGGTGTGGGGATGTTTTTCTTTGTATGGAATTGGACCCATTCACCTGTTAAATGGAGGTATTGGACCGATTTCAATATAAACAAATTCTGGAAGACGTAATGCTGCCATTTGCTGATGACAATTTGCCTCTGAAGTGGATTTTCCACAAGACAATGATCCAAAGCACACCAGTAAAGTTGTCAAAAAATGGTTTCAGGACAACCATCTTAGGGTAATGGAATGGCCAGCCCAATCTCCAAATTTAAACCCTATTGAAATGTTATGGGGTGATGTAAAATCTGCTTTGAAACAAAAAATACCGGAATAGAAACAAGCTATTTGTGGCAATTCAAGAAGCTTGAAAAAGCATCCCAGCTGAGCGTTTGTAACGATTGGTGGACTCCATGCCCCGCTCTTGCTTATCTATGATAAAAAATTTTGGTTATTCAACAAAATATTAGTTTTTTTTCCTAAATTTTGTTATTGGTCCTAAACATTTATCCAGGGACAAATTGAACTTGTTGTATATCATCCATTGCTTGAGTAAAAGAAATTTTTTGTTTATAAAATAAAGGTTATAATTTTATCAAATGAAAACAAAGTTAATATTTTTCCTGAATTTTAGTTTCATTTGTTTGGTTTTAGATTCCACCAACTTGGTTTTGAAAATAATTGTTAATGATCCTAAACAATTGGCCACCACTGTATATTATATTATCAGAAAACATTTAGATTAATAAGTCTTGTTTTTTGTGATGTTATCGAACAGAAGAAATTGTTTGTTTAGCGGACTTAAAAATTAATATATATTCTTAATTTTTATTAATTTAAAATTTTTGATTAAACTAATATATTTTCATTACTTTTTTTTTTTTTTAGGGGAACCTCTGTCATTTGCTTTAGATATTCCGGGAAAAAGTTTAACAAATAATTTATCTACCATCAGAAGAGTCGACGCACTGAAACAGATCTTGGACGACGGGTTTCTGTGGGCGGTTCCTCGCAACAGAAGAACCATAGAACGTCGTCTCACGAGGAAAATGGGCAGAATTGAAATATTTTTTAGAGGAAAATTTCCAAAACAGAACTTGATCATTTGTAATACTTGTGGTCATTATCACGAAGCTCATACCATTTGTGGTAAGTATTAAAGAATATTATTCGGTTATAAAACGCTTGAAATTTCATTTTAATTATTATTCAACATGAACCACCAGTTATTCTAATTAGTCATTTGTTATATTTTACTACTACAGTAGAGCTTCAAAAACTCGGCGCTCTGGATAACTCGGCCACACCCTGGCAGGGCAAAAAAATCCTTAGTTAATTAATTTTCATTATAGACAGCTTTATGTCTCATAAAGTATTTTTCTGAGGTCTGTCTTATCAGGTAAATTACTGTACACAGTGTATTCATTAATTTTCATTTTCATGTAGTAAAGGCTCTATGTCTTCATAAAGGACGTACTTTTCCTTTGTTTAAGGGTATTTGGGCAGTTTATTCTCTGTTGTATTCTCAAGCAAACAATACATACAAGTACGGTACAATATTTTCTGAGGAAACACGCATACTTATCCGTTTTTTAACCCCATTCTCAATAACCTGGCATTTTCACAAACTTGGCCACTCTTCGGTCCACATTAGGCCGAGTTTTCGAGGCTCTACTGTACTAGTTGCCATTTGTATTAATTTTATGTAGTTTTCCAAGATTTTTTGTAATTTTCATTGTTTGGATAACAATAAAAATTTGTTTTTATTCAATAAATCACTAGACACTGCAAGTATAAATTTCCAATTTTAGCTTATGAGGGGAGTCTGAGAAATGGTTAATAAAACTCTACAAAATACATTGCATGGTTATTCCAGTCATTAACCCGTTGGTATGCGCCTAGTGTCGATTAAGCACTAATCGATTTTTAATTAGTTAGTGTAAAAATTCCAATTGTTTGAAAAAAACCTGAAAAAATTACTGTCTGACTAATTTTTCTTTAATTTTATGATGCGCAATTCAGTTTTTGCTTAAAGAGTTTCGTTATTTTTATTTAATAATTGGTGTCAAATTGGCACTATGGTGCACTTGTCTCGGATTTCAAATTTTAAATTTCCTGCCAGTTGCCGTTACTAAAAATAGCTGCAGCTGCAGCACACGCACTTCTTTTGCTTATAATTGTGTTATTTTAAAGCAAATAACTTCTAAAGAACTCAAATTCAACCCGGAAATAATTTAATTTTTTCCATTGGTATTTTTTTAATCATTTTATATGGTTTTATGACACCAAGTCTCATATAATTTTTGTATTTTTTTTAATTTTATAAATATCAAAATGCGAGGCGACTATAATATATAAATTAAAGAATTTTCGTTTATTAACTGCATCTAGGCGTGTATGCATCCAGCAGATACATGGAAGGCATTTTTTTTTTTTTTTATTGAATTTCTCAAAAATAAATAACAGTTGAAATGCAGGCTTTTTTCATATTTCATAACTGATATGTTCTGAAGTGATCCCACAGTAGTTTCAAGTTTATGACGTTTTTTCAGAAAGATTTTATGAAAACCAATACAGTACCTTACCACCACCTGCAGTAAATTCTTTTTTCGCAATTGTTATGTGCAACAATTGCGGTTTAATAAAATAACTATGTAGAATATTTAACCTTACCACACTGCTATACATTTTATCTTTTTCTCCTGGTTCCAATCCCAATTTATTTCAAAGAAGTCATTGCAGCTTTTTTGACAATGCAAAAACAGTAGAAGTAAAAACACGCATTGGCACGTGTCTAGGACAATAAACTTGAACAGGAGTGAAGACAAAACACGACACTTTGTAATTTATGCTAATTACCTTCTAATACAGTAAAACCTGTCTATGGCGACCACCCACGATTCATTTAAAAAGTGGTCTTTTAGACAGGTGGTCGTCCAATACAGTGGTGCTGTAATACCATATTTCTGTACGTATTTTACGCACTTTTTAGCCATTTCTACTAAGCAAAACTCGAGGCGAGCAAACATAAGCGAATTTTTTCAACAATAGGGCTATATTGGTATTGAATTTTATTCTTATCGGATAACCCGATTTATAGGAGTCATCATGATATTATAAGACAGATTTAACACCAATATTTTAAAGATTAATACAATACTCGCATTTTCTCGATTATAATGCACACTTTCTTTTTTCCGACTTAATTAATTCGACTCGGTTGTTTTCGTTTGCTCCTCATTTACATGTATTACGTCATCAATATACAAGCACGTCCTATCACTCCATCGCTTTGCTTTTGGTTTTCGTTAGTTTAATCTTATTTTAACTTTAAAAATTCTGTATTTTTTAATATTTAATATTTTCTTAA